GGCGAAAATAAAATTCTTTTGATTATATAGTGAAAATACTAGTACAACAATTCTTTGAAAATCTTCTTCTCTGCTCAAGGGCAATTAAATGAAATAACTTAGTACAAAATTATGTTGAACATCATAATTTGTGAATGTTGTGGCCCCAGCAGAGTCATTTTTTTTCTTAAATGAATATAAAGTGAAATGCACTAAATCTTTGAAAATCTTCTCTGCTCATGGATATTAAGTAAAATATTCAAGCTCATAGTTAAGATGAACATGGATGTCTCTTCCAAAATTGTAAATTTCATGGCCTCTGGATCAGTTTTTCTGGTATTAGGGTGGGACTCTATTGATTATAATATAGGAAAAATACATAAATCCTTTGAATGGTTGTATTTTGTTTTACGTGCTCTTTGAGAATTTTCACTCATATTGAGACATCTCAATGTACCGATGAAGGGCTTCGAAATTTGACCTTTACTTGTCACTCAGTGCCATTGAGCACTTAGGGATCTTTATCGTGCAAACGCCTGTCGTGACAGGGTTCCTCGGTTTTTAAGATATCTCATAAGAAGGATCGACCCACAACTTTCACTTCAAATTGCCGAAGAAACAGTTGCAACCCATTTTTTAATCGACTTAGGTCGTCGACCACGTGGCGCAGTGGTTAGAGCGTCTGCTCTAGAGTTTCAAAGTAGAGTTGATCCATACGTCGCGGGTTCGAATCCCACTGTGGGACGTTAAGATCGGTCCTTCGGATGAGACCGTATAAAATGACGTCCCATGTCGCAGTAAGTGCTTGCACGAAAAATATTCCTCCCTACTCAATAGCCCTTATGCCGAGTATAGGACAAAATTTGCAGCTCTCCACCAGCAAATGGTGGCGTCTTAATATGAGTGAAAAGTTCCAGAGAGGGACGTTAAACAATAAACAATCAATTGACTAAGGGCAGTCGCGGCAGATATACCATAAATTCTTTGAAAATCATCTTCTCTGCTCATGGGCATAATATGCATTTAGTACAAAATTATGATGATTAGGTATGTCTTTTCAAAAATTGTGAATTTTATGGCCCCAGAATTTTGTAGTTTTACGGACGCTACTGATTATATATTGAAAGTGCATTGAATCTTTGAAATCTTCTTCTCTGTTCCTGGTTATAAATAATTAAGTACATAGCTATAAGGAGCATCGATGCATCTTCCTAAATCGTGAATTTCACGACCTTTGGGTCAGGATTCAAGTATTTGGGTGGGGCTTTATTGATTATCATATAGAAAATGCATTGAACGTTTGAAAATCTTCATTTCTGCTCCTGAATATTAAATAAATTATCTAAGTACAAAGATATGAGGAGCATGGATGTCTCTTCCAAAATTATAAATTTCATTGCCTCTTGGTCAGGAGTTCTAGAATTAGGGTGCTGCCCTATTGATTACATGTATAAAGTGAAACTACATAAATTATTCGATTGATTGATTGTTTCTTGTTTTACGTCCATTTCGAGAATTTTTTAATCGTGTATATGTAGAGAATTGACTGTGATTGGTGTGTTTAAAAATTGATTCTGATTTCTATGGAAATGCTTCCTCGATAAAAATTTATACAATATAGTTTCGTATCCCAACATTTTGATCAAAAATTGAAATAACAGTAACCCATATTTTTTAAAATACATGTAGTATACAACGTGATTATGTTGACATGTGACTTATTTATGTTACGTGCAAGATAATTATGTGGACATGCAAACTGAACATGTCAACATGAGAAAAATATATATTGACATGCAACTTATCATCTTGCATGTTAACATAAATAAGTTGCATGAATAAATAAATATCTAACCTGCTGTCATAAAAATGTCGCATGTCTAAATAATTATGTTACAAATTTACATAATTAAGTAGCATATTGACATATATATCTTGCAATTGGACATAAATATCCTGCGTTTCTACACATTTACCACGCATAATAACATAAATAAGCCACATATCAGCATACTGGTACCTTATGTTTCATATTGCATGTATGATGCGTGAGTACGTAAATTTTACAATGTTAAAATTACAATTTTTTTAAAATAATAATTCTTCTTGCATATTGACATAATCATCTTGCATGTTTACCAGTTTATTAATATCTCTTTGGTTGTTATTTAACAACCTAGAGATCAATACATATTAATATAACATATATACATACATGCGTGAGCATAACATATAACATATTTACAATGTGTGCTTATAATCAAGTATTTCCATATAATAATTGTTTACATTGATGTTAACCTGGAGGTTTGACTCTCTCGTTTACAATTTTAATAAAAGAACAAAGTTTACTGAATAGTCCAACATTTTTGGAAGAAAACAATTCATTAAACTTGATAACATTTGGTCTTGAAAAATAATATTTCGGAATATACAATTTTCTTTCATCTTTTAACTTTTCACAACATAAAATATAGTGGAATTCGTCACCAAGATCATTTTTACAGAAAAGACATATTCTATTAATTCTTTCAGTACCTTCCCATCTACCTGTTTCAATTGGTAATTTATGGTTTGCTGTTCTAAATCTAGCTAAAAGAACTTTATTCGGTAATAACCAATATTTGCCCCCCAAATCAAACTTTGATGGAGATATATTTAATTAAGTTCTTAAAAAGGGGAGTATATGCTGACTTCAAAGCACTGAATATTTTCATAAGTATTGACGTCATATGTACGTAATGACGTCACAAACATGACGTAAATTTCAGTTTTTTTTAATGAATTTTACACAAAAATGTACATATTTCGTCGATATTTTGAGTAAAAGTCACCGAGCGCATGTGTGTTCAGGATCAATATTTTGATATAATGTGTAGAATGATAATGTCAATGAAATATTTCAATATTGTTCCTGAACAAACTTGCGCTCTATAAATTTTAAAGCTAAAATTGCTGAAATTTGTCCATTTTGTTCTCTTTCTGAATAAGGATATAAAATTGGACTAGTTTGTGACGTCATTAAAACAAAAATTGTGAATACACTGCTTTGAAACTATAATAGTTTCTGTTAATTTATATTTCTCATACAATTTATTGAACTCAGCAGGATTCAGTCAAAATTTGACTTTTGTGGGGGCAAATATATGCAATATACCACATATAGTTCTTTGTTTCTTATAATTACTTAAGCTGCTATCTACATAAAATTGGCATTCAAAGTGTAAATTTGTAAATAGATTATATGTCACACCTTTTGAAGAATCATTACAGGGTGAAATCCAATTTTGTTGAAACTGATCTAGTAATTTTTGTTTCAAACTTTTAATAAGCCAAGTTCTATTAAATAATTATTTTTGATTCCAAATATTACTATATCCACAATCGTCTAAAATTGATTTCAAATGCTTTAACCAATTAGATTCATGTCCATTATCAAATTTTGCACGAAGTAATTTATACATTAAAAAAATATTTCGATTGTTTTCCATGTGATTTTTTTTTACAAGTATGCAACAATTCTTGTTTTGATATGTATAATTAAAGGTACTCTACCTAATTCACCATAGATCATAAAATTTGGAGTACTTGGTTTTAAATGAAAAAACAGGATGCGAATAGCAAGCATATCACATCTTGTGGCCCCTTTTGTTTTGATGTGCCATCTTTTTGCTATATTTTTCTTAAAATGTTTGATCTTATTGTTTTATAGGAATTTTTTCTAGTCATTTTTTGGGGGATCAGACATTTTTCATATTTTACGTAATTTCAATCAGTGCTTGTGAGTCTGATCCCCATTCTTTTGTATAAAATATTTTCTTTATATCGTCATTTAAATAAATGACATTATTCATCTCTGTGAATGTGTTTGAGTTAATCTTTTGCAAAATAAGCAAAAACTAGCTGCGGTGAGCCTGCCGAGCATTTGAAGACATAAAGCATTTTACAGAATTTTAAATGTACTACCATTTCAACATTACCATAACCCCACACTTCACAACCATACAATAAAATTGGAACTACAATTATGTCGAACCAATACAATTTGTCATATAGAGAAAGATGTAATTGGTTACCCTTTTTCAAAATACCATACATAGCTTTCGTTGCTCTTTCAGTAGCATATTGTTTTTTGTCTTCATGAATGAGCCTGTTGTTGAGAATATACATGTAACTCCTAGAAATTTGAAATGTTTAACAATTTCAATTTCTTTGTTATTGTAATAAAAAAATTTATGTGGTATACGTCCCTTTAAAAAATAATTATTTTTGTTTTTTTTTTTCAATATTAACTTCTAGCTTCCATTTTTCACAATACAATAAAAACTAAGTAACTGATTCTGTAAATCTTCGGGTGATTCCGATAGTAAAACTGTATCATCTGCATACAAAATAAGCATTTTAAGCAAAACACCATGTTCTTTTTCAATCTCATTTGATATTGTTGAGACACCAATATTGTTATGTGCAATTAAAAAAGATTCTACATCATTCAGGAATAAAGCAAATAAAAAAGGGCGATAAGTTTTCCCCTTGTCGTATCCCTATTTTGCATGGAAAGTATTCAGTAACATATTGTTTTTGCATGTTGACATAAATTATATAAGGGGGGGGGGGAGAGAAAATGTCACCCTATAATCGAGGCTGCACGGCTTTGATTATGTAATTAAAATAGATTTGATTATGTAATTAAAATACCTTTGTTTATCTAAGAAATACATGGGTATTTATTTTCAGATGATCATTGCGAGGTATATTTGAACCATATGGATGGAAAGGATACAATAAAACACTAAAAATGAGTACATATATATTTTAACGAGGCCGAGTCTAATTCGAGTGCGCATCACATTGCGCAGCTTTTTAATTTCATGCAGTCATTTGTGTGACAGTACATCTTTGAAAATTATTTTGATTTTAATACAAAATTAATATTATTTGTAACTAATACTGATATGAAAATATGATTTTACGACAAGAATTGTAAAAAGAACATTGAAATGGCTCTAACAACGTCACTGTTTTCAGATTTTGTAAGCAGTGCATGACGCTGAAGAATGACGCATAACTCGCTTGTATGTTCAAGACTTCCATGGATATTTTACTAAAAACTCATGACAAAACTTCCCAAGAAACATACTAGCAATCTAAAAATTGCTATTTTTACCAAAAAATTGTAGGCGCCGATAATTCATCTGCAAAGATATGTATTTTTACCTTAATATGGCAATTTTAGAGGAATTGGGCTTCGAAAAAATAGACTTAGTAATTACTACCTAGACCAACCTAGATGGTGAACATTTTTGAAATTTCACAGTTTGGTGACTTTTTACATAAACTTTCATCTACTTGAATGAAAAAGAAATCCCTAGGGCAGAAATACAAAAAATATGGAAAAGATGTGATAATTTGGCGATTTTCCAACAAATTCCCATAGGGTCCTATAGTAAAATTTGACAACTTTTGAGATGGCCCCCTAAGAAATCGGGGTGGTAAACATTCGATTTTTTAATCTTAAAACAATAAATATAACAGTAAAAATTAATTATCAAAAAATTATCAAAATCCCTAGGGCAGAAATAATTAGACTCGGCCTCGTTAAAAAAATATTTATGTCATGTACGTGTTTAAAATCTAAAAAAAGAGAAGACAATCACAGACGATTGAAGAACAGAGTAATGGTGTGTTCATGTTCTTGAGTAAGCATGATGGCTGAGAAGAGAGAAAGTGAAGGAAGGACAGATGACGAGGCAAACGTAAGTTTATATTTTAATAAGACAAAGAAGCACAGAAAAATCATACAATTTTGTTTAACAACAGACAGTATCTTTATACATATACTAAAATGCTTCAAACATTCTAAAATGAGTTTAAAGTAACAAGATATTAATAGGACGTTAAAAGAAAACGAATGAAGACGGACCCTTCTGGTGCTTATAGCAGCATTTCTGATGACACAAGTACTCAGTCCGACATAAGCGAGCAGCTCTCCGAACAAAAATACCAACCTCAGACCTCTGGTAAGTAAAATATTTGCCCTTTGTCAATTTTTTTTTGTAAACGTTAAAGTTCTTTTCATTAACGTGACATCGATAAATTTTTTAATTTCATTTACTTATTGTATGTTTTTGAACGTCCCTCTCGAGATTTTTTCACTCGTATGGAAACGCCACAGCTTGCCCGTGGAGAATTACAAATTTTGCTCTATGATCGATACTCAGGGTCATTGAGCAATGAGGGATCTCTTATGTGCTAGCACCTACTGCGACATGGGACCTCGGTTTATACGGTCTTATTCGAAGGACCGGTCTCCACATCCCACACACTGGGATTTGAATCCCTAATGATCGAGACGACTCCTTACTTCGCGACTCTAGAGCAGACGCTCTAACCACTGTGCCACGCGGACGACTTTTAAAATTTTAGATGAAATATGCTTTTTCACCCCTTAGAGATAATAATGAAGGAATATTAGAATTCATATTTTTAAAAATTTAGATAGCAATTGAATGTAGCTATAAAACTACAAAAACATTTCTTTATTTACCCATAATATATAAATTATGATAAATCATCAATGCCCCCAACCCCCCTTTTTTGGAGATAGTTTTGGCAGATATGAAATAAGATGTGTTTTTTGTGTAATACAGTGTTAAATGTTTTCCTCGATATTTTGTGATATTAACTGATATAAAAGATGAATATATTTCTCACAGATCCGTTATCAGATTTAACAGACAATCAGCGTGTCGTTCTCTTCACCCTGTTTCTGTTTGGATATGAACTGTATCCGGGTGATGATGAGGACGTCTCTATGGGAGACATTGATGTCTGGAAGACACTGGAAGAGCTGTACGACAGGGAACTGGTGGAATGTGTCGGACATACTAACAATAGATTCAATCCTGTGTACATGTACACATGTGCCAATCATTACAATCGATTTAAGATAATGGAATCTTACAGAGAGAACTGTTTGCTGAGTGACATAGATAAAGACTTCCTCGTAGAAGTGGCCTCAGATATCCCCTTAAATTATTTTGGAACAGAGTCTTATATCTTAAACTTAGATGTTTCAAGTCCACAAGACAAGAGATCTATAACAATAATGAGATTGATGATGGATGGGATGATGAACAGAATAATAAACTTTTCTGGTATGTAACCTTCACTTACTCTTCTAAATCTAAATTTAAAATAAAGTGATCACAGGTATATGTAAATCTACAGCACATTACTGATTTGATCCTTTTTGATCAGTTTAATTGGTTATAGACATATTTCTTTAAATGTAAATAATACATTTAAAATCATAAGTCCTGCTGGAAGAAGAAGCATCCTTCCTTAATAAATCCAACGTAGATATAAAGAATACTTCATACTTTATATTTTCGTATCAAATATCAAATTGTATTTTGCCAAAAAAAAAAAAATTAATAATAAAATAAAATGAAAATGCCTAAGGCTTGTTCTTGTTAATATTTCGAAACACTATATAAACAAATTAGATAAAACAAATATAAAAATCACATATTACACGTAGATGTTTTGTTTTTCTCATTCAATTTGCTTAAGGCTTGTTCTTGTTAATATATGGAAACATGATACCAACAAGTTGGACGAAGCAAATATTAAAATCACATATTACACGTAGGTATATTGTTTTCTCATTCAATTTTGCTTTTATAAATATTCAAGACAACTTGAAAATTCCTTAAACAGTTAATTTTCTATCGGAATTGATAACATTCAATGAATTGATAAAATTCATGATGTGTTTGTTAAATGGTTTGACAAGGATGGTAGTAGTACAGGGATTTTATACAGTGGCTGTACTGTGTTTAAACGGAGTAAAACAGAACTTTAACAGTGGGTAACAGAGTTTATCATAGATTTTTCAGAATATCAGGGAATTTTAAGTTAGTAGTGTTTTCATTAGTATGTTTCATTATTAGAATTTAGTTCGTTTTGATTGCACACGTCACCACCCTAATTAGTCCAAATAAAGACGAATTACTCTCTTTTTTCTGTTTTTTTCTTGGTCTCAGAACATTAAAAAATAATTGTAATAACCAACTAAAGTAAAACTATTTTTTCTGTGTCATAAAGACAGGAGTGACAGAATTCCACTTCGATTCTACCATGACTCTGAAAAATTTGTCCAATTTTGTAAGAATTACTGTACCCGGAGAAACATACACCCTACAGATTGGTCTAATGGGGTCTGTGATACAGATGTCAAGAGATATTACTCAGTATACACAATACTCTTTGGATACGATGAAGGTAAACAAGAATACATATACGTAATAAATTATTTACAGAGGAGAGAATTTGTTAAAGAACAAAACTTACTATTGAATACAAATATCGCAAAACTTTTAAACAACTTTTTAGAATATAAATGGAATGCATAAATTGTATTCAGCGTTTATTGTTTGAATTACTTTCAAACTGCACAAATTTACTTTCAGAATTCCTGTCAGAATTCCTGAAATTCGTTTTAAACAAGTCAAAATGGAGCATACTTGTACTTATTTTGCTATCAGAGAATTACAGCATTCTATATGAACAAAGAGTGTTGAAAGAGAAAGTCGAACGAACACAACATACATTTTTAGGACTAACTGATTCTGAATATGGGATGTCTGATATCACGTTACTTATACAAGAATTGATTGACAAGGATAAAATACTAAAAATGAATAAAGAGAAGAATTCACTAGAGTTTATATCAGAGGATATACGTCATCTTGTAATGGGATTTTTTGTTCTGAACTGTTTAAAATCTGATGAGGACTACAAGAACTACATCAAATTGTCATCATTTGACTCGGTATTTGACTATGTCCGTACTTTAGACTATGGACGTGATAAAGTGGGAATCGGAGAAAGATGTGTCTACTTACCAATGACGTTGGAGGAGACCCTGGTAAGAGAGGTTGGAATAGACATCGTGCGACACGTCATAGTGACGGTAGAAAGAACACACGATATGGTGTCCAATATTTGTAAGTTTCTCATGAATTATATAATTTCTGAACAGTAATACCAAAGTATCCCACTTATATGTTCTCTCTGCCTCGTAATATTTTCTTTACTTTTTTAGAAGGGTATGGAGGAATAGATATATTTGATTAAGCTTTGGACTCGGCACTTAGATACTTAGTACATTGACGATGTATTATAATTGTCTTTTACTAATTGTTATGTCTATCCATATGTCGACTCGGTATATCCCAGTGAACTTAAAATGAAAGACACTACAGAGTCCACAACTTCTGTTTCATGTGTTGTTGTTTTACTATGTAGCATAAAGGTTAACTAACAACTAAACTGTATGACAAACGAGATGACTTCAATTTTAATATTTTTGATTTTTCTTATTTGTGCAGTTCTGAGTATATTTCCTTGCTACCTGCATGAAACATATGGAGATAACGAACAGTATTCAAGATCAAAGGTCCATAAAACAATACAAAATAGGAGCAGAGCAAACACGGACCTCCGAAACATCAGAGGTGGGATCAGGTGCCATAGAGGATCCCCTGCCAACCGGTCACGCCCGCTGTGTGCTCCTTTGTCATGTTAGGGAAATAACGGAAAGATTATCAAAAGTCGTCTAATGACGTCACTTCCGGCCAATCGAAAGAAGTCAGAAAATGCTTATTTTTTGCCGTTATTGACATGTTTTTGGGTGATATTTGTCAACGGAAGTGTAAATTAAATTATCCAACCATCGACGTCACTTCCGGGTTAACTGGAAGTAGCCAGAAATGTCTTACTTTTGCAATAATTAACATATATTTGGAGGATTTAAACAACTGGAAACGTTATTACTTATTTTTGAAAAAACAGGACGGAAGACCTACTTGTTGTTTTTTACGAGCTCGGCTCTAATTATTTTTGAAATCGATTACGTAAAGATCTGTGTAGCTAATCTATATATACAATGCTCATGGCAGGTGTGACTGGTCAACAGAGGAGGCTTACTTTTAGGCACCTGGTCCAACCTTTCCAGGGGTCTGTGTTTTATACCCTATCAACATATTTGTATTGTTTATAGATTTTTGAAATCGGTAACTTTATACAAGTACATTTGGATTGTTAATTTCATCAACAATTGTCAACAGTTAATTGTCACAAAAACGAGGACTATTTTGTATAAAGTTAAATGACATGTGCATTATTGTAAAAGCTTACAAATTTTACATGAAATATTATAAACTATTTTGGAACATGATTTTTATGCAAAAAATGGTTTACCAAATTACACGACATTTCTGTTTTCATTCAGTAAATGTTCCAGTGGAAATTCTTCACTGGGACTACGAAGCAAGATGCAGGTACGTAGATTGTGCAAAGAAAGGGACACAAACAATTCACAGGGCTCGCGCTATGATCGTTGGCTGTGCTGGTGCTGGAAAAACAACTCTTCTGAAACGACTACAGAAGCGATCACTCGATGAATTACAACAGGTTCAAAGTACTGTAGGCCTTCAAGTGCATGAGGACATCTTTGAAATTTTGGAGGAAAGCGAGTTTTTAAAAGGTTAGTGTTCAATTTCAACGTTTCAAAGATCATTTACAGGCAGATTTGTGCCACACGAAAAAAGTAAGGGACATTCAGCCATTTTTGTTAATAAAATCTATTTTCTACTGATGTTTTTACGCAGCCAATAGGAAAATATTGACATACGAGGTTTGTCCGGTAAAATCGCGCACAAGTTGTTCAAATTGAAAAATAATCATCACTGCGTTCTAAAAAGTTTACTACTTTAAAGTACATTTTTCATCAATATACATAGCAAATCAATACATATATGCAAAAATAAACAAATTATGAGGTTTTATGTTATGTGTTGTATCGCCTTACGGTGCACGGATGATGACGACAAAGAGCCTAAAGCAGCGTCACGTTCTCTCCTTTCTTAAAAAAATTGAACAAGTCCCAGTTTAATTTAGGAATTTGATTGCTACACATACTTTTGTTTCCTTTTATACCTCCAAAAATTGTCAAGAACCAATCTCACCCACCCCCGGGGTCTTCTGCAGATTTATTAGAAAGTTATTGACAGCATTCTCAATATCATTCAACTAAAAAGAAATATTTTATCAATGTTGTCAGCGACATAGTACAGTGACAGCATCTTTCGCTGTTAACCTATCCGTATGTTTTGTGTACCCGAGGACTCACTAAGAAAACTTCCATTTCAATTGTATGCTTAACGAGGCTGAGTGCGCATGACTTTTGCGCAGTCTCTTAATTTCACGCAGTAACATGTGCGACAGTACACCTTTCCCAAATATTGTGATTTTAATATAAAATTAACATTATCGGAAATGCCTACTGGTCTGAAAATGTTAATTTACGATAATAACTTGGAAAAAACGCTGAAATGAATCTAACGACGTCACTGTATTCCGATTTTGTAAGCAATACATGACGCTAAAGAATGGCATATGACTCGCTTATATGTTTGTAGATGCTCAGGGATATTATACTAAAAACTGATGTCATAACATCAGAAGAAACACTGTAGCAGTCTAAATATTGCTATTTTTACCACAAAAAAATCATCTGTGCCGATAATTCATCTGCACCAATATGTATTTATACCATAATATGGCAATTTTAGAGGTCAGAGTATCGACAAAAAACTTTGTAATAAGACCAAGACCAACCTAGAAGGTAAACTTTTTTGAAATTTCATAATTTATTGACTTTTTACAATAACTTTCATCTATTTGACTTAAAAGAATTCCCTAGTGTAAAAATACATAAAATATGGGGAAAATGTGATAATTTGGCGCATTTCCGACAAATTCCCATAGGGTCCAATCGTACAAATTAACATCTTTTGAGATGACCCCCAAAGAAATTGGAATGGTAAGCATTCGATTTTTTAATCTTAAAACAATAAATATATAACAGTAATGATTAACGAACAATTAGGAAAATCCCTGGGGTAGAAATAATTAGACTGGGCCTCGTTAAGATATATATTTATATTTTTCCCCTTTTGTATTCATTTAAAGTCTGTAAGTGCATTATTACTATATTTAAATCAACGAAACTGCCCTTCAATGCCCCGTTGCATAACGTAACGTCATCAAACGCCGCCATCTTTGTTGTTGTGTTTATCACTTTCCAATTTGAAATGCTAAGGAAACTGCCAAAATTACACAACTGCCTTGAAATTTTTCAAAAGACGACAAAATAATAGGAATTTAAAAAAGAATATTTAACTTCCTTCTTTTTTAAAAAAATAATTTTATTTCGAAAAAATTCTCGAGTATTTAAATATAAGTCCGAGATCATTTTGATATTTTTACATAAACAGTCAAGTTTTTTAAAAAATGCTTTAGCTGTTACAGAAGAAACAGATAAGGAAGGGAAGCAACTTTTGAGTGTCATGGACTTTGGAGGACAGTGTGCATATTACGCCTGTCATCAGGTGTATCTCAGCAGAAGGGCTTTCTATCTACTAGTGATAGATATGTCTAAGTCGTTTGGAGAAAAAGTCGACCCAGCACTGTGTGAACAGGAAGGAACAATGTTTGCTGACTGGACTTATGGGGGTAAGGGACCAGTTTTTTTAATCTATGATTTTTTGTTTATATTTTCTGAGGTTGAGGTACGTTTGCACTCACAACTCCAATTGAGTTCTATTAAAAAGAAATATACCGATTTTGGAAAAATATTCCTCAGTATTTTTTAATATGATTATAAATCATCCTTACGTCATGGGCTGATTTCTACACATGTCTTAAATCAAGTTCATCAAAGAAATAAAGTTTTAAGATTCAAAAAGTGTTAGGTTCTTTTTAAATCCAAAATATTTCTGAAATCCCTAGTAAAATAACGTTTATTTTTAAAGTGTAAGTTCAAAATTGATTTTAAGGACAGACGATACAAACCTTAATCAAAAAGCTTCAAAATAACAGCCTATGTATTATCTATATGAGTAAAATGAATGCTTTTTTTTATACGCATATTCATAAGACGGGATATTTTAAAAACTGATGATACAAACCTATGTCATAAAAATTGATAATAGCAACCCGAGTCATGTTTCAATGAGGAAAATAAACACGTTTAACCGTGTAATTTTTAATTCTGTATTCAACGTTTCACAAAATTGGAATTTGAAGTGAAAAAAAAAAATTGGAAAGATTTATAAGAAGTTTTACAGAAAAGTAGAATGTTGAACATCATAGAAGGTTTATAATTTCTTAATAGATATTGTTAATAATTAAGGTATTGCTTATTATGATGTTTATTTAACTTGGAAAAACCTACAATATTTATACAGTAGGCTATATGGAGAGTATAAATCGAAAAATGAAATCAAAAATTAAAAATACTCCTAATCTAAGGAGAAAATATTAAGACTTTGTGTAAAATATGTAATCATGTTAAAGAAACTAAAGTAGAATTACATACAAAAAGCAGTTTAATTGTATGTAAAAGATAAAAATAATTTTGAGTGTACTCTTAAGTACTCTATCTTATCTGTTTAGTAAGATCACTTTTCAACTGACTCTTTTTTTTTTTTTTAAAAAAGTCTTGAAAAACAACTAATTAAAAAAAATGCCTAACAATGTCACTTTTCACAGGTGCTTTCATTGTCTTAGGGATACTACGAATTTAAACCGTACGACCTTAACTTTAAAGTAAAACATACTCTTGAAAAACTTTTAAGATCTTGGACATTTCTCAAAACCAAAGTACTAGAAAATATTGAGCCCCTTCATTGAATTTTAGCATCTTTTTGCAAGATGACTCTTAGTTGCTCTACATACAAAAACAGATAGACACCACAGATTTGATCAAATTATTTCTAAATTCACAGAATACCTCCTGTTTTGGCTGAAGTCGGTTCACACCTATTGTGACAGTGATGCCTCTGTTATCGTCATTGGAACTCATCTTGACAAAGTTAAAGAGCAGGTTCTAGAATGCCATTGATATATCTATTATTTATCATATATCCTTCAGCATTAAACTGTTTAATGATACAATAGAAATAAATATTTACTCTGATAAAATTTTGAAAGCATACATCGCTTAAATATTTTTAGAAATGCCGTATTTTGCAGAATTCTGACACTTTCTACAACAGTATACTTGACCACTTGAAGTTAAGCAAACATTTGAGAACACACTTGGACAGGAAAAGATGCTTTGTCCTTGGCTTTCAGAAAGATGGTGCATGTTGCAAGGATTCATTAATAGAACTAGAGAAATGTATTGTAACAATTGCTAAAGAAGATAAATGGAAGGAAACCATTCCAACAGACTGGGCTCTTTGTGAGATTGTGTTCAGAGAGAGCAGAAGACGAAAACTCAGAATGACTTCCATCAGAGATTTATCGTCTAAATGTTTTGGTGGAAACAGAGAAAAATATACACAAATAGGAGATGTTCTAAAATTTTACCATGACATAGGTGTCTTGCTGTACTTTAATGACAACAATATGTCTGAAACTGTCATTATTGATATCCAGTGGTTTATTGATTCATTTAAGAATATTATTACCGATCCAAACCACGTCAGGGATATTGCAGAAAATTACACGGATTGGTGGAATTTTTATGAAAGTGGACACATCCTGGACAGACTTTTAACTGGTATATGGGACAACAGACATTTCAAAGTAAGTTTTTGGGACAGAAATCAACAGAAAACGAATCTTCTCCAATATATGCAGCGTCTTGGTCTAATTGCTGTAGGTACCTATGCACATTACATTCCCTGTATGAACAAGCGAGCATTTGGAATCAAGGAAGAAAACTATTTCCGATCTCTTCAAAGTAAAACCTCCGTACTGGTCTTTAGATTTCAGTTTCTGCCTTGTTTTTTCTACTACCGCCTTATTGTTGCTTGTTTAACACGGACCAATGGAGAATGGATGGTGTTAGAAGACAATGGACTTTGTTTGTACAAAAATGTTGCCTGCTTTGCTTATAGGCAACATGTAGTCGCTCTAGCAGTAAACAGTTCATCGATTCAGCTTCAGATATTTCAGCCCACCAATGTTCTTGTAATAAAAGAAGTAGCATTGAAAGTACGCAATACTGTTGAAAGCTTACTTATGAACCTGCTTGGGAACTTCCACAAAAAAATTGATATGTTTACAGTTGGATACCAATGTTGTAAACAGGAAGTGTTTCTGGAACACGATGATTGTTTTGTTGAAGAGAAAGACATTTACAGAAAAGGGAAGGTAACATGTCCAAGGCATGGAATGATCAATCACCACGTATTATATGAATCTTCCCTTCTAGTTTACTGGAAAGCGGTGAGTGAAACATAATAATTCATTATTAAGGTTATTGTTTGTAATAGCACTTACTTTGTTTTTGCTTCAATAAACAAAAGAATAGTTGTTTATCCACAAAAAAAATTATTTATTACATTTTGCCTCTATTTTCAGGATGTTATAGCGGAAATTCCAGGTATTAATATACAGTTATTGACTGGGTATGAGGGCAACATATGATTTGTTGGACCTGAAGGTGAAAATGTTGCCCGAGGCCGCAGGCCAAGGGCAACATTTTCATCTTCAGGTCCAACAAATCATATGTTGCCCGAATCCCAGTCTATAACTGTTTTGTTATACCCTTCACTGCTCACTTAAGATTGATCAATTTTATCAATACACGCTATACTATCAATTATTTTATATGGAAAATTATGACTTCTTCAGTAAAAATAAAACATCAAGCTGAGAAAGAACAAAATCAATTATAAATCTATTATATTACAAAAATTATTTATCACAAAACATACTCTTCCCTTCTACCTTACCTTGCTGTTAGCAACAACTCTTAATAGCTCTTAACTTCGGCTATTTTCGCGTCGCCGATATTGAACGATGATTATTAATTGTGACGTAACAGACAAGTGACGTTGCGGTCTAACAATTCTTATGTAAGACCGGTCAATAGTGAAATTGTTAGACCGACGTAATAAACATTTCTTTTGTTGGACTTTTTATCAGTAATAAATATATAGAAGGATATTTATAAGGGTATAACAAAATAAAATAATCATTTTAGTTAATAAGTAGCTATATAGGAATTATTTTTAGTAGAAGAAAAATCGCTTTAAGAATTGATTTTTAAGCATTCTGTAATTCTTTTAATGGCTTTGTCTTCTCAGATATAGATGACCTTATGGATCAGGATGAATGTACCCGTTTTTCTGAACCAGAAGTTAGGAAAATGAATTTCAAGACTTTTGAGAAACTCACAAAAATAGGAAGAGACGCTTTGCAGCTCTATTTTGACAGAATATTTCCACCTATAGACCTAGTTACAACACTTACCACGAACAAGGAAAGTCTGCAACATGGACAATATAAAATGAATCAAGATCAGTGTAGTCTGCTTTTCCCAGGTATTCTACAACAGACAAATTTTGTCTATCATTTTATACAAAGCAAAATACTATACAAAATACTATAAAATACTATACAAAATACTATAAAATTTTACGTCCATATATTAAAAGATATAAACACATTGATTTATTTTTATTTCTTCTATTTTTGACATATAAATATATATGTAGTCCACAATTTTATCATTCAACCTTTTTGTAAGAACTTAGAATCGCCGATTGAATAATAATCTTGATTTAGAATATCATAACAGAATGCAAAACTTATATTACGGATGAATTTAATTTTAACTTTTGATATGTTTTTTTCTCAATTTATTTTTTTTTTGTAGTAATTAAAAGGTTTTTTTTTGTATATCCATACAGCTGATAAGTCGATTCCCACTTCATCCACATTTGATGTAACCATAATGTACAAATTGTTGAGAAACTATGGCCCAAACCTCCTTTCTCCAACCAACGGCTGGGGAAAGAAACCTGAGATAGGACAAAAACTCATCACTGATGACGTAGAAAGAATACGAATATACAGGAATGAAGTGGAACACAAAACACAGACAACCAACGTGATGGAGAAGGACGATTTTGATCTGAAATGGAGAGACCTTTCTCAGGTGCAAAATCAGTCCTTGTTTTATCTTGCTTAAATATATAATATTATTTTAAGTAGAAATTGAGATATTGTGCTTTTATTATTTCCTTCTTTTCTATACCAACGATGTATTCATCTTATGAACAAATAAAATATAGATCAAGGAACTAACAGAATCTTCTTTATTAACCATTTAATTTAGTATCATATTGAAAATTTTCCAAAACAAAACTTATAGATTTTAAATTTCACACTTTGATGGAAGATATCATTTTGTCATTATGTAGGCTAGCTAATTACCGAACTATCGTAGAATACAACATTTTTGGGACGAGAGACATTTTTGGCGTTCTTAAAACGCGTTATGGACATAAATATATAAAAGTGTAATCGTTATAATAAAATTTTGTGAGCAGAAAATGTAATTAACAGAATAAGACGTTGATCTCTTCATTTGCTGAATTTCTTTTTGATGCTTTTATGATGCAGTTTGTAACGTTTTAGAGCAGTGCTTCAATTTGATGCTTTTTTCAGAAACCAATAGTAGAATTTAACTCTGTGAAAATTAAATATTGCAGGCAACATGGATGTTGATAATCTCGATTATCTAGTATTAATATTATTTTCGATATTGGCGGATATTGTACATGTAATTACATACATGTACATGCTTTGGTTTAAAATAAATGAATCCAAATACAAAAATTATATAATAAATAATGCATGAATGAATTAAATAATTACCTAATTGAAATAATTACAGATATTGAAAGATAAGCCTTTTTGATTGAACAAAATTTCCATGTACAGATTTGAAATAAGTTTGCATAGCCTACCTTTAAGTTAATTACTTTATAAAGCATTGTTTTCTTTATAACAGGCAATACTGAGACTCAGCAATGGATCATTAAAAGAAGACATCATGTCCCTCAGACGACAGAGATAAATGTGTGACGTCCATTGAGTATATTTAACAATATTTCCATCGTCTCAATGCCAGATGAAGAGCAGATCAAACTTTGAAAATAACTCATCAGCATAGCAGAAAATAACTCATCAGCGTAACAAACTATGAAAATAATTGTTTTTCATCGTGAGAAATGGACGTAGTACGAGGGTTGATCCAAACGTAATGTCACAACTTTGATAAAATTACTATAAATCGACGTAAAACAACAAAATTAAACATGATGAAAGCTGCATTTATTTCAAATCAAATCTGAAAAATTCAAAGCAATATGATGTAAACTTTTTTAAAACATCGGATTTTAAACAATGTGTTTTTATGGTAGTCGCCGCACCTAAATAAATAACGTCATATGACGGATACGCGCCGTCATTCTTTTAAGTGTTTTCCCTTCGTTTCATTAAAACTTATTTGTGATTCGCAAACACTTTCACCAATTTCACTTTCTTTGAAAATTCTTGGTACCATTGTACACTCACTCTTTTCATAATTAAGCCCTCTCTCATTTTTTTAACAGTAGCATAAGGCAACCTTAAAAATTCACCTGTCACTCTATCCGTCTGTGTTTTTGGACAACGTCAGAAACCATTGAACGTTTCCGTCCGATCTCCTGTCTTTCGGTCTTTTTGTCCTCTGCTGATCATTCAATGACCCATCATTCGCCCGAAATTGCTGAAACCATCTATAAAGAAGTCTCTTATTTTCATTTTTTATTCTGTTAGTCTAATTAATTAACGAAACTGTCGCTGGTGATGATTCCCAGATTTTGAAGCAAAAATGCATTTACAACTCGTCGTTTTTCCCCCATTTGGACAATCCCTTTGTTCAATTCAGAGAGTAAAACAACAGTTTTTATGGTTATAAATACCAATGCCGTCATTTAATTTTCAATTAAAGACTAGAAAATGGCTTGAATTGTGTCTTTTAAAAAAAAAGAGATATTTGGTGCTTTTTTAGAATCGTTTAAATGTGTTCGTATTTTTTTTATTCTAAGGAAAAAATACACTTTAAAATGTGACGTTCAGTAGTGACGCGGCGACACCCCCTATGATATATGTTTTAAACATTTATGAAATAAATTTAAATAAACATTATTGAATGAAAATTCCAATGTTTATTATATTTGTATTGGTGCATCTTTTGGTATATTGTATTTGATAATATGACACCAAATGTGAAATATAGACATTACTTTTGGATCAACCCTCGTATTAACGATAAAAATGAGAGAAAAGATTATAAACACAAATGATAAAACGGTGGCCATATTTCATTTCACTGAAGTCATTGTTGGCGGACAATCAACGTTCACTGCTTCATGAGGATGCAATGTCGCATATTTAGGGTGGCCCACGTGGTTCAAATCACTGGTTCCCCACAAAAGTGATAATTGCACAGTACTGTTTAAATATATCTGCAGGTGTACACGCCTATAGTATTAAAGACACCTATAATATGGCCCTAACAAATAAAGTCAACAAGACTAAAAAAACATTTCTTGGTGTTCCACAGTCAAGGAAAACTGACCAAAATAGTATTAAAAGGGGTTCCGGACACCATCCTCAGTATAATCTCTTCTAGAGCAACGCTAGACTTTCAGGACGTTTTAAAGTTTTCCCACTGGAAGATATTTCGGAAATTATACACCCAAAGTTCGGTGGAATCTTCAATTTGAAACCTGAATCACATATAACTTTTCGAAAATTAAGTATCACCATCTCGTATATATCACTCACGAATATATAGTTGCACAGTACTCTTCTTCACTAATGGTAATATTGTAAAATGTAATAAATCTTTATTGTAAATTAATTAATGGATATATTTTTAACACTGATATATGTTTTTTTCTTGTTATTCATTTAAAAAAATACATTAAGCAACAATATAAAGTATCATGCTTGGTTGTGTACTAAGTAATCAAGGAACAAATGGTCAGAGGTCTCAGTGTTGACAAAACACATGAACCCCCTCGAGACGCTTCAAGCGCATTAAGACAATCGCGATGGACGGACTCATACAAACTCCTGACGTCTGTCCAGTGCCCAATAAATCTAGTGCTCATCTCTCCGAATCGGAGACCTCACTTCTTTCCAAGGGGTTGAATTTCTGCCCCACGCCACATGAGGTCGACGAAAAACATTTAGAGAGGACACCCGAGCATTCTTCCGGAGACTTCGTTTGAAAGAGCACTTCTCTAGAAAAGACTCCGAAGTTAATTCATACGACTCTTCCAAGCCAGATTTACACGATCTAGAAGAACACAAACTCTATAGGCCAAAGAGTGACTGGAACCTGCAACGGACAAGTGCGGCACACTTGAGTCGTATATTGACGCCGTTGAGTCAGACAAAGAAAAATCCTCTCAATGCCAGACAAGACTCCCGGCAATTTGAGTAAGGAAGAGAGATCATAAAATTCACTATTAGAAAAAGGATAAGTAATATGTGATACTTAAAAATTCCAAGGAACTTTTGGAAATTTTAAAATCAAATTTTCTCCCCAAAATCAACGGCATAAAAATTTTTCTACATTTTATACAACCATTCCCTATGATACATTGTATTTGCTGACACGGTCATTATATGACTATAGAATTTATGAAATGATGACTTTAAACGAGATTGCTGATATTCTTGTTTCGTCTACTTGTTTGTCTATAATTTCCATCGTTTTAGAAATTGTATATACGTAGAGCATGCTCCTGCATATGAATCAACGGAAAGGTAAAACTCCGTACACTGGTGATATATAAAGATAAATTCATTTCGTTTTTCTTAGAGTTTGGTTGTTAGATAACCATATGCGTCTTTTTCAAGTAAAATATCCAAATAGAAAACAGACTCAGTAATATCAGACTCTACGGTATCTTTTGTCACAAGCCGATCAGGATATATCGCATCAACATAGGAATAAGAGTACTATTGTTAATTGACGATACGTCGTCGATATTTCTAAATGTAGAGTTGAAGGTCACTTTAAGTGTTTATTCTTTTCACGTATAAGAATTTGGACTAATTCTGCTTCATATGAATATGAAATAGGTCTGCTAATAACGGAGTGGAATTGGTACCCCCTGGATTTGCATTAGATTGTTGGAAGACCTCGTCTCAAAAATCACAAAGATTGATTGAATTTCATTCTTTAACACCGAGTCGGAAATATTTCAGCCATATTTAGGTCTTTGAATCTTTAATTCGGAGTTTGAAGTTTTTAAGATTTCTCTGACGGCCCCAGATGAGCCTACTCTTTTTCGAAAACCAGAGAAACGATCTTTTACGTGTCAAGTTGGTTGTAATCCTTGATACGGGGTGCCATTTAATGTTCCATCCGAAGGACATTGAATTCATAAATATGAAAACAGTTAAACGAACAATATACAACAAATTGCTAAGTATAATTATTTAAGAATCGAAATCTTTCTGTAAAAATTAGTTTTCTTAAAGTATTGTAAAATTTCATAAGTGTTTATACATTGTATTTGTAAAAAGGTCATACACTGTTTGCACATTATTATTAATAAAAAGTATGCTTCTAGCAGGCGAAAAATCTGTACATTCTAAATGTATATGATGTATAGTCATTTCAAAGTTGCAAGATATACATTAAGGTTGGTGTACCCTTTTTAATAAATAAGAATGAGTAAATCTTTCCGATTCCTATTCTTGATATGATATCTTCATCGTGATGTTTTAGGAAAAAATCAGATAATTGATTAACTTTGTTTTGCATTGCATAAAGTTAATTATTATCACAAAACTCCCAAAATATTTGCCAAAGAGAGTTTATGTAAATTTCTAATAAGTAATTCGCATCAGTATAAAAAAAACTTTAAATTGTACAAGTTCATACTTATGTGTTTTTTCGCAGCACTATCAGCTTTAGTGTTTCCAATTTGAATTGGGATCCAGCAAAGTTCAAGAATTTTACCTTGTTTAGTGTAGTTAAAGTATTTGATTAAAATATCTAGAATGTATGGATGATGGATGTTCACATTGTTTATGGATTGCAAGCAGGAGAGAGAATCTGACAAAATTGTAAAGGAATTGTCATTAGCACATTGCATGTAATCAAAAGCAAGTTGTATTGCCTTTGCTTCAGTTGTAAATATTGATGCTTCATCCGGAAGTCTTGTAGATAAAACATCGTTTTTAACCACCACAGCAGCAGCAACTCTGTTTTTGTCTTTTGAGCCATCTTTATAAATGTCAACTTAAAATTACGTCTCTTTAATTTCTGTTTAAAAGCAATTGGATTCGTTTCTGATTTCATAAATAATGTAAGGGATGTATTTACAGGTGGTTTTATTAATTTTTATGGTGGTATTTCAGGGACAAAAACTTGTTTTACAATATCCAAAGGTGAATCGGAATCACTTTTATGATTTTTAAATCTTAGACCAATTGCTGAATGCACTCTTTTTACTACATGTATATAAATCTTCATGCTTCGAATGAAAAACACAATTATGTGCAGGGTTATCACCATTTGCTTTTAATAAAACCACATAGTTATTGCCAATCAGAAACTCAAGCATCTTTTTGATGTCAACTTCAGCGTGTACAATCAGAATGTTTTTTTAACAAAAAAGTTCTGTAAATGACCAATGACAAAGTAAGTAAATTTACGCGTTCCATTTTTATTGAAAAAGCACCTGTCACTAATATTAACAAGAGGCCCAGGGGCCACATTGCTCACCTGAGCAATTGGCTAAGAAAAAGCACACATCAGATCAGAACTGGAGGTTTACTGAGGGGGGGGGACTTGAATTTTAACCCTCCAGGGGATCATGATTTGAACAAACTTAAATCTATACTACCTGAGGATGATTCCCTATAAATATCACTAAGCATGGCTTTAAAGTACTTGAAAAGAAGAATTTAAAAGGTTTCCCTAGATATTCCTATGTTAAACTTTAATCGGCCATTTGGCCCCACCCTACTGCCGGGGGTCATGATTTGAACAAACTTGAATCTACACTAACTGGGGATGATTCCACAGGAGTTTCATCTTTCCTGTCTCAATGGTTCTTGAGAAGAAGATTTTTCTTATATATTCCTATGTCAAACTTTGATAGGCCACTTTGGGAAAACACCTAAATTGATTTCCATTGATCAAAGAATCGATGATCAACCTTGATTTGGCTGACAGGTGTTGTGCACATGTCTCCGGCCCCGGGTTGGAACGGGGTACAACTTGTATATTCCGTGTATTTCATTGACTTAAACTCACACTGCATAAGATTTATGTCATGTAATGTACAATACTGATCGCTTAACAAATAAATTTAAAATAAAAATAGCAAGTTGATATCACACAATGATATAATTAAATTCACAGGGAGGACCTTCGTTATGTTTAAGTCAGAGAATTATAGCAAGCGCACTGTCTACACATGTATAAAAAAGATTATTCAACAAATTAAAGATGATTTACTTTTATTATTTAAACCAGTCACATTTTTCAATAAAAGGACAAAATATTTAAAACTCTTGTTAAAACATGTAAAATGAGAGCAAGTAAACGGAAAGTGGGGGGGGGGGGGGCGTTTTCAACTAACATGACTATATGTGCTCATTCATTTTCAGTTCTCCAGACGGTAAAATAAATTAATATTTACAAACATTAACTACATTAAAGATGCCTACTAAATGCTTTATTTGACAGTACAAATACATGTGAGAAAAAATATAAGTTGGGATTTTTAAAAACCTTTCTGTATAAAAAATAAACCTAGTTAAAATGTACTTGGGGAGAAAAACCACACACTTCAAATACAACAGAATGATTTTCCTCAGATAATGACAACTACGTGTAAGGAGAAATGTAAAGAAAAACATAAACATTTATGGAAGCCAATGTTAACATTATGATCTAAAAATGATTATGATAAAATTAATACACGAAAAATGAAACTGAAAACAACTTCATAAAATGTTACCTTTTCATTTAGAATAATTTATTTTGTAAGTATACCATAATAAATTTGTTGATAAAATACTTTTTTTTAAACAAATTATCATTTCTCAGGCTATTTTAGCCCATCCCCAGATTAAAAACAATGACCACAGTAATTATCAGTAAATCTCAGCATCGACAGCACATCAATAGTATTTATCAATATTTATCAAACTCAACAGTTTGAATTTTTGAAATTCATTTCGTTTCGTTGGGATCTAAAATATTCTTCAAAACTGACAATTGATTTTGAAGAATTTCTTCCTTAGAGAAGGAACTATGAGTATAAAATGGAAAACCACTTGTAGAATTAAAACATAAACATTTCTCATACATACTGTAAGCAAACAAATTATATGGCTGTGAATTTACTAGATTTATTATCCTTTTTTTCACATCTTTTTTAGTATTTTTCTAAAAAATTGTTGAATGCTTTTAGAAATATGTCGAATCAGTTAAACGTTGATCCTGATAAACTCCATTCTATATACGATTTATCACTTTCTTCTCTGTCGAAATGAAGAATTTGATTCGCTATTGTACAAAAACGGCTTTCTAAAAAGGAGAATATAAATATTGAACCCCGATTGAACTGACAGTTATTGATATGGAACTCCGATTGATCTGAGAGTTGATAATGGTTTCCTTTTGTAATTGCTAAAAACTACTTTATATTTGTCATATTTTTCTGAATGTTTATTATAAATAATCAACATGTACCTCGAGCTCTGATCATTCATTGTTTGATGTTAATAGGAATAATAGACCTTGTAGAATAATGGCCGAGTCCTTAGTCATTCTTCGAAGTCGATGAATCATTCTTAGTCATTCCTCCACGTCTATAAAACATCCAGCTTTGTCCTTTTTTTATTCGAAAAA